GATACGGCCAAAGTGCAGGACCAGCACTTGGCCTTGTTAAACTTCATCCCGTTGGAATCACCCCATCTCTTTGCTGCATCTGGAACAGCACAGGAACAGCACACTAAATCTTAGTCAACAGATTTTCATTTCAGTGTGCCTATGACAGATTGTTACTGTTTGGGCTGTTTCAGAAACAGGAAAACAAAAGCAATTGAACCTTACAGCCAAGCTTCTCAAGTGCCAGCTGGAAATGGATTATTCCCAAACGATGCCTGCAAGAGAGAAGTGAATCCTTACCTGTCAACTGACATCAATGGACTGTAGTCCAGTCTCCCAACTTCATTCCATAGGCTTAATGCTGCAAACATCCACTGAACTCATGCAAGAAACTCTGTTCTGCTCCTGGTCTCTTCCACATTCCTGCATGGCTTATGGTTTTATGATTGTTGCCTTAATGTCTTGCGAAGTAGGCTTCACTCCCACCCTACTATATGAGCTTGGGAGGTGTTAAACAATAAACAGTCAAATCCTCAAGCAATGATACAGCATGCATGTATTTTACTATTTTCATACTAACTAGGAGTTAAGAAATATATTAGGCAACAAGTAAAATGCTAAATGAATTAATAAGACTAAGGAAGCCAAATATGTATTTTCACCCCCCAGCTCATTTGAGTAAAATAACCTGTGAAAAAAATCAAGTTCATACAATGCTTTTGTTTTGAAATTGTATTTTAAAAGATCTGCTTGCTTTTTGGGGTGAAGAAATTTGCTTTGTTTCCTTAATGCCAGAAGAGAGGGAGGAAGAAACTTCTGTATGACAATAAATGCAGATACTGGTCCACGTAAAATTTAGGTGAATTAAAAGCCAAAGTAAATTTCAAACCTAACATAAATAATAAAATTCCTGTGTTTTAACCAGGCTGCTAACTGCCATGCTTAAAAAATTGTCAAGCAGCGTTCTAGCTGGTGACACCTATTACAAAACATAAGGCAAGTGATCTAAGCCTCAGCAGATGTTGCTTATGTTTGAAGTTAATTTCAAATGGGTTAGGAAACCATCTCTATTTTTTTCTTTGGAAATGGAACAAAGTTTGATTCCTTAAGAAGCCGTACAATCAATCAACTTGTGAAGTTTTTACTGTACAACAGAAATTCTGTTTCCCAAATACACAAGAAATGTGATTTATGGCAGAATAGCATTAACAGTGAAAGGACCTAACACATTGGGTGGTATTCAATATGCCCCAATGTCCTCGGTTCTTGGGAAAACAAGTCTGTCAGATTTTGGTTATTAGGAATTACCAGATTCCAGACAGATGAGCCTCTCAGTAGAGTTAATTGCACTAATTAAACCAGGATTTGGCAGAATTGACCCACTAGCTCATTATTTTTCCCAGAAACATTTTCCAGTCAACAGACTCAGTGCAGAATTGTGGATCACTTCAAAACAGGTACATTTTTCCAAAGCATTGTTTGAAAAAAGATCCCAGCTACACAGCTGTAAGACAGCTTCAAACATTTAGTAAATTTTAAGAAAAATTATAGTAACAATATTAACAAAGTGAAACAATGACTTGCACATTAGCTTTTACGTCAATATTTGACACTTGTTTCTTCAGAAGAGAAAATGTCAGTGACAGCTGACATCATTGGTGACAACAGAAGTGAAAGGAAAAAGTTACCTCAGCTTAACAAACCTTTATATGGGCGGCAATATATATTCAGAAAAACTGACATCATTATCCCTTCGGGGAGGTAGGAGTGACAGATAAACCAGTAGGCAGGCACAGAATTCCTCCATCTTTAGGTTGCTGGTTCACACAGTTTATTTGGTTCTTGACTTGATGGAGGAGTTTAGAAACACCTTGAAAGGCTCAAGCATGGCATATGTTGTTTGACTGCCTGTGGTATCACCAGGGGCCACTGCAGCTAAATCCTACTGCCCTACAGAACATGAAACAAACGATAGCATTCGTCCCTTTTCTCTCTGTGCATATTTCTTCACAGCCTCCACAGGCCAGCTGACACTTCTGCCCAACACTTCAATACAAGGGATTATCCTCCATTTAGCTACAGATCTGTGATAGTCAACTCAGTCCCTGTTCATTACATTCTTTACTGTCCTTTCAAGATGAGGTGCTAATATAATTCAGAATATAACCAAAGATCACCTGACCACAACTCGTTATTCAGAGTGATGTAATTCTTGGGTCAGATGAACCTGTCCATAGCACCAATCCAGGTGACATGTGTAGGGGGATGTGTGAACTAACACACCTGAGCTGAAATTCCTTGCATGAAGAAAGGAAAAGCAGATTTGTAACCTAGGCTTCCTGCTTTTTAAGAACATTTTCCACAACAGTGCAGTACCTAATAGGACTGATCAGACCTCAACAATCAGCAAGCATGCTTTCCTTTCTAACTTCACAGTGTAACACTTTGCATTGAAGTACAGTATTCTAATTAAAGGATTTCAGGTGTGAAGGTAATTCCATAGATTATTGTGCTATCTTTGTTATAATCATGATTAGCCTGTGACTGGTCCTTTCAGATTTAAGCATCAATGCATTATGAGATTATCAGTACAAGGAAGGTCAAATAATTTCTATTTTCAATTAATTTGGTACAACCATTATCTAGACACAAGTTAAAGAACAGATGCTACTACTAATTTGGGCTAATCTTAATGATTTTGTAATAGTTAAGTCTTTACCAAACAGAAAAGATGTAATAAACCACAATACACTTTAAACAATTTAGGCAAGGAAAGAGCTAGACCACCACCTTCTTATAGAGGTGGTAGTGTAGAAAAAAACCTTTGACTGAAAAATCATTAGGGCAGTAGGTGAAAGACTAAGTGAAAAGTTCCTGTTGCTATCTGAGAAACTACAGGAACTCATCAGTGAAACTAACTGGGCTGAAGTTTCGAATGCAAGTATGTGAATAGAAGGTAATAGAACATTTCCTTAGATTAGAGATTAAAACTATTTTGAAGATCAAGGAAGAGAAAAAGATATTTTGAATAAGCTCAAAATGTCACTGGATGAATAATTGTAGGAAAAGAGATGACAAGAAATAGATACACAAATAAACTAAACCCTGAAGGCCAGAACTAGGGAGTCATTTTTGGCTGGAAAAGACCATCGAGTCCAATATATTAACCAAGCACTGCTGGGGGTGTGTTCGCTACTACTAAACCAAAGCCCCAAGTGCCACATCCACACACCTTTTGAACACTTCCAGGGATGGTGATTCCACCACTTCCCTGGGCAGCCTAATTCCAACGCTTGACCACCCTTTCAGTGAAGAAATTTTTCCTAATATATAATCTAAACCTCTCCTAGCACAACTTGAGGCCAGTTCCTCTGGTCTTGTCACTTGTTATCTGGTAGAAGAGACTGACCCCCACCTCGCTCCAACCTCCTTACTGGACCTGGAAAAGTTAATAAAAAAAACCCCAACCCATGACATTTTTGAGTTTTGACACACAAACAAAGCAGAGTAACTAGTTACAGCTTGCCAGCTGTTGCATTTCATTAACAATATCCCTGGGTTTTGGCCTGGCTTTCGTGAAAAGAGAAATTACTTCAAAGTACCTTTGATTTCCCACAGTGCAAATAAGAGTTACCATGGGGCATGGTAGGGAATGACTAGCTCCTTTGCAGGAAATTGCTTCTCTGTTCAACTCCTCTTCACATTCACCTCTACACCTATTTAAAACATGGTGAACAAGGAAAGGAATGACACTATTATGTAAGAAAGGTGAATGTAAGATTAGAGGTAATCTAGGGCATGGCCCTAATGCTAAACAAACACATACCAAGCAGCAGAGCTTTATGGTAATGCAATAAGAATTCTCAGTTTCAAAACCTACTGAAGCAAGAGTTGAGCATGAGCAAATAGCAATGTCTGAGCAAAAATGAGAAAATCAGTGGGATTAACTGCTACAAGCCAGGACTTGTGGTGTGTCCAGGCTTCACCTGCACCAGCTACAGAACAAAGAAATCATATGGGTTTTGGCGTTGGGAATAGGAACTACAAACAGACAGCATTGAACAGGATAATCACATGGACAATATGATGTGTTCTTCCAATTACTGATGTAGCATGATACATTTCAATGAATTAAATAACAAATTGGAACATGCAGTGGGACCACACAACCTAACATTCAGGAGCAGCTTGAAGAAGGCTACTACTACTGATATGCCTGAAGAAGAGATCAGAGGAAGCTGACACAATCTCACCACAGAAAGGGGAATAATGCCCAATGGACCAAAGCAATACTGGTGTAAAAAGGCACATAACAGATATGAAAAGCCATGAAAAAAAATAAACATATGTTTCCTGATTACCTCAGAAAGGTAAATAGTAGAGAAGGAAGATCAGTGAAAAACCAACCCAGCAAAATTCCCCAGTACTGCAAAACGTTGTGAAAGGGTAGTATAGCCTCATGGGAAATATCTCTAGTTTTCTTTCCTGCCCCATCCTTCTTTCTCCCTCCTTCTGTTAAGACCTGTTTATCTGTGTATCAGCTGAGGAACACAACTCCTTAACAATCTCCATGCAAGAAAGTAATTGTGACTAATTTCAGGACGTAACATTGGAAAGCTTCCAAACATCAGAGATGATTTCAAACACTCTCCAAGAAGAAAAGGTAGGGATAAGATGGTACAGTTGCAACTTGATACTCTTCTGATTAATAAAGTACGGCAGGAAACAAGATACCATTATCTCGGGTTCTTTTCTTTTCCTATAGTTATTCTGAACATATTAGCCTAGCTTCCCACCAGCAAAAACCTGAAATACCACCTGCCTCTAAGCCCTCCAGAGGCCATTAGAATTTCTGGTAAAACATTTCCACCATTAGGAATTACAGTTCATGTGAACAGATTCTATTTGTTGTGAGGAGATAAATAGGGACAGGAAATAATTGTTAGGTTTTGGCAACTATATTGATAAAAAACTAAATTTAAAATACTATGTGATAAAGAACTAGACAGATATAATCAGTGTTCTCTCAAAAAATTTAATATCAATCTGGAGGAAGACAATTTTCTTCAAAATAAAATGTGACATAATTTTACAGCATGTAAGTGTAAAAGAAACTTGATCTTCAACTGCTACATTAATAAATCCATATGAATATAAATAATCTGATTTAATCACATTTGTAATTTCCAGTTACAATTTAGCAATTACAAGCAAATACAAGTTACTAAGCTAGAGTCATTTTTTGTCCTGGCCTGAATGTTGAGCCAACTTGTCCTTTCCTCTTCTTAGGATTCTGAAAATTATCATACCTGGAAACAGAAAAAGATAGTAGCAAATTCTGATGAAGTGCCTTTGTTTCCATATGTCTCTCCAGCTGCACATTAATGCAACACAGAACTACAGATGTGTAAGTATATTTTTATGGAAATTAAGAGTGCATGTCTCCTCAGACCTGGGCACCATCCAGAACCTAACTCCGAGAGCTCTCTGCTCTGCTTCCCTTTTTTCCCCAGCTTTTTCACTCCAGTCATTTCCAAGTCTAAGAGACACATTCTCCTTTCCAACATGTTTATAATTCTACAGATTATTGCCTTTTCCCAAACATGGCAGCTACAAATACCACTACAGAGAGTCAAACCCCAGCAATTTGTAAATATGAGGGACTACTACTCAGTGAGAGCAGGAAGGACCTAGCCTGAAATCTTAGAGAATTGGGGCCTCTTTGTAGTGGTACAGCTGTAAACTTAACACAAGGGGTTTCTGGTCTGTGATTTCCAGGTCCTACATGAATAAAACCCAATAAAAGACAATGCACGGATGAAATACTTTCTCTTTCCCAGTACCAAATTTAATATTTCTGAAAAAATTGCTGCCAGAAGCTATGCAACTCTGCTGCCATTCCCCACACTATTGTGTTTCTGATGTATAAGGAATGTGAAAAGACCAAATCTCCACTGAACTCACAATTGCAAAAAAACAAATACTTACAGCTCAGTAAAATTCTTCCAGTCATCCTGACTAATGGATGGTCTCATACACTGAAGTGCAGTCATCAGATGGGACTGGGTAATAACTAAAGTGGCCTTGGCAAGCACTGACTGATTAAGGGTGCCGTCCTCCTAGGAAACAGAGCCATGAACAGACAGTGAAAAACTGACCACAGAAACATGGTGCCATGAGTATCACTAGCTCTGGAGCCTCCTCATTACATGCACAGACAAGTGTATTACAAATACAGTTACAACTTCCTCCTCCTCCACCTCCGTATCAATAACAGAGAAATAACTACTTAGCTCTACAAATGTTAACATCTGGCTTGCTTTCCTCACACTAAGTATCTTTCCTATTTTTGTTACATTATGTTTAATATTGTTGAAGAAAATATTTATTGAAATACCAAGTGTGGGAAGACAATAGAGAAATGTTAAGACATAGTAATAATAATAAAGCCATACTCCATTCTTGCTTCTGTAGTTGGCTTTGATAGCATTGATTTCTGTCCTCAGGTGCTCTGCTTGCTGCTCCTGGTTGTTTTCCAGGGAGCCTTCCTGAGAAGCTGCTCTGAGCAGTGAAGGCTGTGAGGATGGCATGTCTCTCTGAGTCACGCTGCTGAAATCGTAGGTTATGGAGTTTGGTCCAGACAAACACAGAGAGCTCTAAATTGACCACAAGGAGAAATATATTAACTCATTATGGATCCAAAAGAGCAATCATTAGGAATTAGCCTACACTTCAGTACAAGCTTGTCTCCACTGACAAAAAGAGTACTTTCTCTTTCAAATATATCACATACATCATTTTTTGAACAGAAGGATTTAGATCCATTTGCCAAGGTGTTTGGGCAAAGGCACAAATTTGAAAATGAAGTGTTTCATGTTTGGAAAAAGATGCAAATATTTTTGCAACAGCCTGTCTCAAAAAGAATAAAGGTCTACTAAGTACATTGTTTTATTTACTTATGAAGATAAGTGTTTCTGAAATCTGGGCAAATTCATGTAGTTAGCTTTGGAATTGCTTCAGAATTTAAACATTCATCACCTCCAAACTCCCTATGCACTTGATAAAATATGCACCTTTCAAGTTCAGTAACTTTAAGAGATCAAAGCCCCTGTAGCCTTGCTGAAGAATTCTCACAGTCAGAGGAAAACTCAAGTCTCTAAAGATACATTAATCGAACACTATCATCTATAATGCAAGACAAAACACACCAGAGCACCTTAGCAGTCAGTAATTAGATCTCCAATGTCAAGGTAAGTTATTTTTGGCTTTAAGAATCAATGTAAGACAGTTTTGAAAACAGGAGTAACGGTTCTACAACAGATTTTGAGAATGGATCACACACAAACTCTGAAATCATCAGCTCACCCTAAGGAGCTCAGAGACAGTTTATTCTGTTTTGCTTGACCTGTCAGCCAAGTGAGATGAATTGACCAGCTCACCACTGTCCAGGTGTTGAGCAGCCAACCTGCATTTCCCTACCTGCAAGCTAGGCAGAGAACCTGCTGCTTTCTGTGCAACATGGTTCTACAATACCAGGAATTCTGCATCTTAAGAGCAGTGATGGAAGCTAAGGCGTAGTTTTGTGCTTTACGCAAGTCCATGGTCAGATTATGCTATCAACACACACTTTACTGGAAACTGAAAAAGGTTTGTTGATTCTTAACATTATAACTTAATTCTTGAAAGATGGATGGTCAGATGGTATTTATTTAGCAATAAAACGAAATTAAAGAGAAAAAAACAAATCAACCCCAAACCACCACGAAGTCGACAACTGTTTTAGTGTTAAACTCTGGAAGGGACCAAGCCATTTGACCAGACAGTAAGATCTAGAATTAATGCAGTTTGCTTGATTATAAAGTATTAAGCAGTATTCTGGGTTTTTTAAAGTCCTGCAAAGTTGCAGTGAAGTCCACACTGTATTTTGACACATCCTTCCATCCCCTTCCCTTCCCTACTGTAGACCACAAGGTATAGACTGAAGACAGTTTGAAGGTCACAGGCGACATAATTGTATTTATAAAACCATACCATATGCCCAAAACCACACCAGTTTTTCTGCTTCACAACTAATAACATTTAGAAAATTCAAAATATTAAGTAGTTTACCAGTTCTGAAGGAGTTCCATTTCCCAGCTCTGATTCATAAGAGCTTCCAAAATAAATACGATACATGTTGGACCTTGGATCTTCAGGAAGCAAGTCAGACATGTCTAAAGAAATAAGAGATTGCTCTAGCCCTGCTTCTCCTTCTGTTGCTGAATCTTCTGAGCCACTGCTGTGGTTTAGAAAAACCATGGAAGAGAGACTGAAGTCACTATCAGAACTAGATGCAAAATCCTGTGACAAAGAAAGAACATTGGAAGAATTAACTCATAACTGACTGCAATCTGAAAAAGCCATATACTGTGCAAATGAAAGTATTGATTTACATTTGACTCTAGCAGAAATCTGTCTTTCTCTAGGAGTATATTTCCAAATATTTAGCCAAGAAAATCCAACGCCTTTAAGCAGAACTTTCTGTCTTCATGCTAGAAAAATAAGGTTTTATTTGTTTGAACTGTCTCACTCACTCAGTAACCCCAAGTGTTGGGAATCTTCATGTGTGGTTTCTGTTGTAGAACTGTATCACTTCTGTCTCAATCTTTCCCTCCAGACAATTTAGTATCTTGTGTAAAGTGCTCCAGGAGATGTGAGCCTACTTTTACAGTGCCTAATTGCTTTACTAATTTTCAGTCATAGACAATACATTTTAAGTGCTGACATGGAAATCACAGTTGTTGCTTTAGACTGGTGTCTGCAAACCTTTTTGATTGCACATCTCTAACAGCAAACTACTTCTGAGCACAATCCCCCAAGTATATGCATATTATTTGTAATTTATATACATGTACTACTGAAGTTCTAATATTTTCTTCCTGCACCTCGATGGGACTGTCTTGTGCACACTCTGGGGTGGGTGCACACCACTCTGGAGACCACTGCTTCCAGCAATGGCACCCTCTTATCATGGATAATCACATACTTACTGATGCTACAAGCATAGGGAGTGTTAGGGAAGATATGCTGGAGATGCCTCCCAATACAAAGAGTTGCATTCTCAAGAGTCCCATTCCTTGGTAACAGCTGGGGCAAAAAGAACTCAAGAGGTCTCCTTGATTTTGCACCCCTGACCCAACTCTTCCCTTTGACCTCCAAGTAGTGGAAGCCATGCCTGCCCCTTTCCAGCTAGAACCAGAAGACAGGCATTAAAAATGTGAAGAGAGGTGGCTGAACAGAGGCTAAAAGAAGAAAGCATCTGTCAGTCACATAAAGGGTACAAACCAAGGGTGGGATCCTGATCTTTGGAAGTGCAAGTACTAGCTGGTGCCTGGAAGATGAGCCAGAGAAGGCCATTTCAGATATTGCCATCCTCTTGCCACTTCTCTCCTGACCTCAATCAAACTCAAACTGTTAGATAAACTCCACAAAACCCACCAATTTCCTGCTTCTACCATCATTCAAAATGTGCCACCTCAAAACACAATCTGCTAGCTGCTCCTAAGAAACAGTGAGTGGGATTCCTCCTGTCAATCTGTCAGTCCTTCCTCACAATCTGAGCTGGGCTTACATAAATCTATTTAACATTAAACACCTATCATGAAATGAAAAAAAACCCTTGTGTTTTAAGTAGGATTTAAACTAATATGTTACATTATTCTTGTGTTTTTTGCAGACATATTAAAATGTATGAAAACTGAGGCTTATTAAACATAATTTTGCTAAAAAAAAACCATGGAGAAAAATAACCCTTTCAAACACATCAACATAAAAATAAAAAGAGGAGAGATTTCTTTTATATCAGTTTCATTTACCTGTGTTACACCTAAATTTAAATTAGTGTGGATTGCCTCTAATTGGGCATTGTATAATAATGCTTTTAGGTCAGCCCCTGTGAACTGTTCTGTTTTTGCTGCCAAATCCTGAAAGTCCACATCATTTGCCAAGGACAGGGAATGACTGAGAGCTTTTAAGATTTCATAGCGTGAATTCTGTAAAAAAGGGGAAAAAAAGTCAGTAAAACAACCTGTTATTTTCCTTGCCCTGATTGCTTGACAGTGCTTCGCCCCTGTCACAAGCAACTTCTATCTGAGGGAGGAAGGATCTTAATTCTAAGTGCCTAACCAAATGCAGTATACAGAGAAATATATTTCTCTAAATATCCAGTTAATATCTGGGATTTTTACATAAAAATATGAAAATAAACTCTGCTACTCATACATCGTTTTGGAAAGAAAAATATGCTAGAAGTGAAAAACTTTTGTTTACCTGAATGATCTTACTCTAAACCAGAAGTTTAAAACAAATATATCTATGCTATTAAGGCACAGGATCATCTTCATGTGTGTTTCAAGATGAAATGATGTGATATTTTTACATGCATGAACTAATCTGAAAACAAACAGCACTAATTTTTTTCTCATCAAATGGGGAATCAAAGACACACATTGTACAGCCTCAAAGGAATGGCTATGGTTCAAGCAAACAGCAGATCCACCGGACTCACAATGCAAAGAAAGATGCAGAACATTATAAATACATACATATACTATATATGTAAGCATATATACTACGCTGCACCCAATTTCTTTCTGCAGATGAGTTTCCTGTTTCAATTTTGAAGTTTGTTTTTTTTTTTAAATCAGCTATATTCACAGGCTATGGCTTGATCCTGAAGATTGTGACAAACAGCCTTTTCTTTCCCCAGTTTTATGCTGAACACTTTGACACTAAAATCAGTGAATTTATACTGCTGTATAACTGGACCTGAGTAATCAAGTCCACTTTGTCCAGGTTTGAAATTGCACTGAATGTAAAGAAAAGGAGAATAAAACCCAATAGTTTGATTTTTCCCTTGTCTCTCATATGAAATCATTTGTTTCCTCACCTGATCAGGAGGTGGACAGTACAGGCACTTATCCAGCCGACCTGGCCTTAACAATGCAGGGTCAATCAAATCCGGGCGACTAGTAGCAGCTAGCACATAAACCCCTTGGGAAAGTGCAGAAAAAAGCCATTATCATCTGCTAAACCTTTGCATAAAAAGGAGCACACAGATGAGTTATTACCTTCTAAGCCTTCCACACCATCCAACTGAGTCAACAGTTGGTTAACCACTCGGTCAGTGACTCCTGTGTTGTCATGACCTCGGCGAGGAGCAATAGAATCAAACTCATCGAAGAAAACAATACAAGGCTGAGCTGCCTGAGCTCTAAAAGGGAAAAAAAAAGAATCAAAGGTAATACTTAAAAATCTGTTTAAGTTTCAGCCACAGGGAAAAATGTTTAGCAATATTAAAGGTAAATTCTTCTTACTTCAGAGAACCTAACTGAATACAATACATAACATCACAAATCTTTACAAAACGAACCTGTTAAAGATATCTCGAACTGCTTGTTCACTGGCTCCAATGTACTTGCTGAGCAGCTCTGGTCCCTAAAATAAACAATCAGAAAAGAACACTTATGACGTGTTTCTTGGTTTTAATGTGCAATTCAACACCAGCAGAGATTCTGTGGACTAGAGTCAATTTTCTTGTAACCAAGACAATGGCAGCTCTGAACAGAAGGGCCAAAGGGGTCCAGACAAGCCAAAAGAATTTTTTAAGTGTTCCAACTTATTTTAAACTAACCATTTCAATTTTTCTACTATAACAGAACATGTTACAGTATCACGAGGCAAAGGTTTACACTGTATTTTGAAAATATGTTTAAAATATTTTGCCTCAACTGCATTGTCCAGTGGAACCAAAATCCAGGGTCTTTTATAAAAAAGAAAGAAAACAAAGAACATTTAATTCAATTTTATAATTCTGCTAATGAATTAATATACAAAAAGATCTCAGTAACAAAACGGTGAAATTCCAGAAATCAGATGGTGGAAGATCCAGAGACATCCAAAATTTTAAATGTGAGTTTCTTACCCGTCTTTGCTCTCACAAGCACATACTTTCAGGTATTAAGTTGACCAATTTCATTCAGTTAATAAAATGCATCAATTAATCTTAAAATCTTGCTACCTTGATGCTGATGAAATTCATTCTACTCTCTCGAGCAACTGCTCCTGCTAACAGTGTTTTTCCTGTTCCAGGTGCTCCATACAGCAAGATCCCAGATCTCTGTCGTATGGGTAGGTTTGCAAATAATTCTGGGTACTGGAAAAGAGTTTCAAAGAGACATATTCTAAAATACATAATTATCCTGTAATGTCCTGCAACATCACTCACTAGTGATCATTTTTCTCTGAACATAGTGTATCTGTGATCAAATGGAGTCTCTGAAGACCGAAACGGATGGCTCATCTTGATGCTGAAAGGCCAAAGTAAAATAGAGGGATTGATGGATTGGGATTCATCCAAAAGAAAATACTCCTAGCAAAAGCACTGCAGAAGACATCTAGAAATGTTATCTTTACAGAGCCTAATCACAAACCCTGCAACAGACTGTGTAGCAAAGATAATGCTAGCAATACCCCAATATTCCAGAGCAATACTCGATCTGCAGCAAAGCTCAAGCCACTGCCTTTTGCATTTGGAAGAGGGAAGGGGAAGAAGAAAGTTTTCCAGTAGCTGAAGACAGTTGAAGACTCAAAAGCTACAACAGCTGCTTAAAATCATGCCAGTCATCTCACTGTCAAATACTGTGTCACCCCTTAAAAATCATTCTTCCCCTACTAACATTATGTTAGTTATTGAATTACAAAATTCAAGTAACAGATTTTAAAGAACTTGGTACCTTTGCAGGTAACATGATGGTATCCTTGAGAATTTGCTTCACATCTTTCAGGCCACCAATCCTGTCCAAGCCGATGTCTTTAGGTTTATGAAGGTTAACATTTCTCAGAGCTAATGGAGTAAAATCTTTTAGAGTTTTCTGAAAATCCACAGTTGACAGGTTCAATTCTGCTCAGGAAAAAAGAAAAAAAAAATCCTGAACAAAGAGGCCACACAGACTACCAGTAACTAATTCCTCACAGTATGTCATAAGTAAATAAATTTTTGACATAAAATATAAAATCTAGGAGATTTATTTCTGTATTACTCCACCCGTTCTGGATACCAGAAGCAAGACTCTGAAACAAGAGATTTTGTTGTCAACATACCACCATTATCCAATGCATTCTGGTTAGAAACACAGGTGTGAATGGCGCGTTCAACCAGCATGGTAAAATCTCTAGCAACAAAACCTTCTGTTTCCTTCGCAATACATTGGAGGTCAAGATCAGAGAAGTTCCTTGTGTCACAGTTCAGTTTCTTCTTTATTATGGAATGCAGCATTTCACATCTTTGCTTCTGAAAAACAGAATTGTGCAGCAAGTGTATATTGAGTTTACTATTTATATGGAGTTCAGGAACTCAAGGATTAAATGTATGTTACTAAAATTCCCTTGGATGTTTGCATGTCACCAAACCTTCAAATAACAAAACCTGAGCATGTATGAATACAAATAAAAGCTAGTTCTTCAGGTGCACTTCAATAAACACACCTGCTTTATAGTTTTAAATATTTACCTCGCCACAGCTACCTTGAATCCAACAATAATAACGCAACAATCCTCCACCCCCAGATTCTATTGTTTGACACTTTTTCCTGTTTTACAGGAAAAGGAGCATTTTTCATTTTGCCAATAAGAGCAGAATATATTTGAGATTAATATATTGCATTAGCTAGAAATACATCAGATAATTTGCTGTCTTTGGAGATCTTGACTTTTCCAGTGATGTCTCATCCTTATTCACGTACTAGTATTAAGAATAATAACAGCAGACTTGCAGGAAGTGGGAGAAAGCTACACTGCATCTAAGACAGAATCCCCTCCTCAGGGGCTTTTCACTGTTGGACACACAGGCAGGAAGAGCTCACATTAAATACAAACAAGACATTAGGGTACACAGGTTCAAAGGATCTGATTTTTCCTTTAAGAAAATTAATACTGCTTACTCTTCTGTTTTTCTTTCTATATATTCAAAAGTAGAGGGATACAATTAACACGGAAAACCAACCCAAAACCCATAAAATTAACATTTAGTTTGAAAACAATTTTTAAAATACACATTCTAGGGACCGACTTATTTCTCCGAGCTGTGAAAAACCACACTTAGGTTTAATTTTGCTGATCTAACTGTAGTGACTCGTATGTTTTTACAAACCTGCTCCTTCAGGTCACAAAGAGATCTGCACATCTCACCTGTGGTGGACAAGCTGACTAACAAGTTATGTTGAACTGAAATACCTCTGAATACACACTGTCACCAGCAAAGGGCAGGGCCAACTGGAGTTTTCACTGGATTACTTCTGGTTTTTTAAAAACTTTATAATGACAGATGTAAGCTCTGAGGTATTTAAGTGTCATAAAAGAACAACTAAGATTTCAGAATTTTTTTCTCTTATTTGGGTGTAACCTACCATTTTTGCAGCAGTTCCAGCATTGTATTTGAGCTGCTGGGAAGGCAAACAACATTTTAACCATTTTACTTGAATTTACCTGATCTGGAGATTGGATATATTTGAAGCACTGGAATAGGTGAGTCCCTTGAGCGGAAACCAGGGAAGGATGAAGGGAATGTTCAGAATGACTTGTGGCAATTAATGCAATCAAACTCCCCATGGACATAACTTCTTTCATCAGATCCTTCAAAACTAAACAGAGAACACGAATTGCAAAATAACAAAAAAGGGTTCTGCATTTCATAACAGACATTTCTACTGTACTGGGCAGCAGCATTAGGGCACATAAAATGTAAAAGCTTGTATTATTTTTATTCCCATGTTGACAGCTGTTTTTTAAATGAGAATATAAAAAAAGAGTGCATAGTAATTTTCTCTAGGACAGTATATTCAATTTATAAAAAGGCATCAGAAGTGCTTTTTTAAAAGCTAGTTTTGTAACATCACTGATGGTGTCTACTTTTGTGTGCTATTACTCCCTCCATGCAAAGTAAAATGGGAAAAGTTTTAAGAACAAAAATAGATGTTAAGCCTAGAAAATAGGCACTCTAGGAAAAAGCAACACATGAAAGTAAAAGAAATTAAGGATGCAAGGTAGATCTTCAAGGGCTAATCTTCAAAACTCTAAAGTTCTGTTGTATGCATTGTACCTGTAAATGAAGTAACAAGAAACAATTCTGCATGTAACTTAAGAGCACATTTTTAAAAGAGAAATTATAGTAAGATTTTCTGCACTTCAAAAGGAATTAATGAAAAATTATGCTAATGCCCTCAAACTGAGCTAAGGAATGCAAGGTATTTTTGCTATGGCTTTATTAATCTTGATAATTTAAATTTAATTTCAATTTGCCACTTATCACTGCCTAGATTTTCAGGAATAAAAAGGAACTGTGTACAGGACGTCAAACTATAATTGATCATCTTATTTTTAACATCTGTGGATTGGTACATTGAAAATACAACAGAAGCTCTACAAAACATACCAAGCAGGATTACAAAGAAGTTGGTTCTAAACATCAGTAAGTATCAAATTTATTTGTTTGTAATTATAAGTAACAATCATGGAAAACAAAAAGAATTTTAATGACTGTCAATTACAATATTGATCTTATAAATAATCATCAGTTAAAGATTCATCTGTAGTGTGCAATTAATTGCCACATATTTGAGTGCATGAACAATAAAAAAGGGAATAGAGAAGCCTCTGCCACCGGCAGTGGTACTGACAACAGGCCTTACCATCAGCAGCAGTGGTGGAATTGGCAAAGTCATTGGCAATGACTACCCCAAGCTCCAGAGTGGACTATTCTGAATCAGCTATTGGTCCACAAATGGTCTACATACCAGAATTTGTGAATCCCTGCCTTGGAACACCACGTGGTCCAGAGGCAATAATGATACAGACAGAAGTGTTCAGGTAGGACAGTACAACTCAAGTGCAAGAAATTCTAAGATGCATTACATTTTTATCCAGGCACAGGTAGCACAGTATTACCATAAGCAAGTCTGTCACTTTGAACAGTTTCAGGGGTGTTCTCATGCTCTGGTGTAGAAGGCACTCCAACAATGTGATCGAGATCATCCATCAAAAGAATGGATGGCTGTCGCCATGCTGCCTCTAAAAAAGCTTCTTCTATAATCTTCCTTATGTTTACCAATCTTTTTCCTAAAACAGAAAATACTATTATAATGACAGAATGTATTAGGCAGAACAATCAGACTGACTACATCCTGCTCACGTAATACTACAATGTTTTGATTTATCTAGCATAACTTTACACCTATAAATCCAGGTACCAACATTCAACCACAGGCAACAATCAGTAAAGAAAAGAACCCAGATCTGCTATCAAAAAAACTACTAGATGGTTCCAGCTGTCCTAAAATGAGATTAATCATCTTTCACTAACCACTACAGAAGTCTAGAGGTCTAATTCCCAGTTAAAATCAGAGCAGTATTAGCAGCAGTCTAAATTAGCTATTAAAGAGTCCTGCAATTGGAAGAATTTTCCAGAGCAAAGGGTCTAGCTTGTTATTAATTTTTCTGTTTTTCTCTGAAGCAATGACCTAAGTAGGGACTTAAGCAAAAAGAGTATAGCCAGGCAATGTAAGGGCTCTGTAAGAAAACAGTTGAGTTGTTTTTCTTCTGTCCCCATAACGAGTATTTATAAAAGCCAGTAAATGAAAGAGCAAAAAATCACAGAATATACAGTTGGAAGGGACTATCTAGTCCAGCTCCTGGCCCTGCACAGGACAACCCTGAGAATCACACCATGTGCCTGAGAACATTGTCCAAACACCTCTTGAACTCTGTCAGGCTTGGTGCTGTGACAGCTTCCCTGGGGAGCTGTTCCAGTGTCCAGCCATCCTCTGGGTGAAGAACCATTTTCTAATATCCAACCTAAACCTCCCCTGACATAATTCCAGACTATACCCTTTGGTCCTGTCACTGGTTGAAAGAGAGAAGCCAGTGCCTTCCCCTCCACTTCCTTCTGTAAGGAAGTTGTATACAGGGATGAGGTCTCTCCTCAGTTTCCTGTTCTCCAGCTGAACAGACCAAGTGACCTCAGCTGTTCCTCATATGGCTTCCCCTCCAGACCCTTCACCATCTTCGCTGCCCTCCTTTGGACACTCTCTAGTAACTTCATAACTGTCTTATACAGTGGTGCCCAAAACTGCACACAATACTCAAGGTGAGGCTGGACCAGTGCAGAGTAGAGCAGGACAATCACCTCCCCTGACAGGCTGACAATGCCTTGCCTGACGCACCCCAGGACGTGGCTGGCTCTCCTGGCTGCCAGGGCA